AAGAGATTTTTCTCATCTCGTAGTCATCATTATTACCACAGACGCACATGTCTGCAGCTTTTGTGGTGTCATTTGTATTTGTGATCAGCATCGTTTTTTTTTTTTTTTTAAATGGCAAGCTTTTTTTGTAAAGTACATGGATTTTAGAATATTAATTAAAAATTTAAGTAAACAAAAATAACAAGAGCCGCAGAGCGGCTGAGCTCATCTGGGGTCTGTTGCTACGGTTATAAACTTCAGTTGTGCGTAGTGACACATTTGTTAGGCGCAGATATGCAGATACGCAGTTGGCGCACTATCTTCACCATGCGATTTTGGTTTATTTTATTAAATGAACATTTGTGTCATAGATTCACAGCTATCTTTTTTTTTATTATGATGAATATGATGATTGATTGGGGATGAGGGTAAAGGATACTTGCATTTAAAGTCAGAATGGTGGGGACTGCTCGTGGCCCCCTCGCCTTGAAACCACATACACGTCACTACACGTGGACGATAGCGCAGCGTGTTGCACAGCGTGTGAACATGCAAAATACATCGATCTGTGGCGTGTGGAAAATATCATACGTGTTTGATATTTTCTTCCACGTGTGGAAGATTGAACAGCGTCTGCGGAGTGGTTGTGTAAAGTTCCACACCGTCTCTACACAGCTACACTTGAACGTGTTTTAACGTAGACATTTTGACGTTGTTTTTACGTTGCTCTCTCTCTCTCTCTGTGTGTGTGTGTGTGTGTGTGTGTGTGTGTGTATGTGCGTGCGTGCGTGCGTGCGTGCGCGCGCGTGTGTAGTGGTGGATGGGGCTAGCAAACCCCCTCTGTTGGACTAACAATATTTTTAGAACTATACCATTATATTAGCTGCCAGTATAATAGTCGCGCGGCTGCACAAAACGGCGCCTGATGTATGGGTTAAATTATGTAATTGAGTGCAAAGCAGGCTACAACCCTTTTGCAGCTTTTCAACAATTCTAAGAGAGTTTTACTCTCGCCTTCAGGCTGCATCTCAGCGGTGGTGTCCCCTATATATTCAATGAAACGTAACTTAACCAATGCCCCACCCCCCTGTACATCAACTTTACACAGGCCACTCTGCCAGACGCTGCTCAATCTTCCACACGTGGAAGAAAATATCAAAGACGTATGCAGTTCGCATGTGGCATACGCTGTGGAACGGCGCTGGAGGATGGAGCAGCGCGTTTCACAGCATGTGTGGCGGGTACGCGCCAACAATGGTAAGTGCGAACGACCTAAAGGGCCGGACACACCAGGCAGAGATGCCGATGCCATCGGCCGATGGCATCGCGTGAAAATCGCCTGGGTGTGTCACTCAATCGCCGCCATCGCACAGATCAAAACGTTTTGATATTATCGGCCCGATCCATCGGCCGATGCATCGGCCGATGGCATCACGCCGATGGCATCGCCTGGTGTGTCCACGACTGCCGCGATGCCATCGGGCGATTTTACAATTCATCAGCCAATCAGAGTTCCATCAGGCCAATGCGCAGCTGCGCGCGGGCAAGAATCGTGCGATGGCCATGCGCCGATGCCAATCGCCTCGATGGCATCGCCTGGTGTGTCCACGACTGCGCGATGCCATCGCCCGATGGCATCGCCCGATGGCATCGCTCTGGTGTGTCCACGACTGCGCGATGCCATCGGCGATTGCCATCGCCGATGCCATCGGCCGATGCATCGCCCGATGCAATCGCCTGGTGTGTCCGGCCTTAAATAAAACTCGACATCTATTTATACGACGCTCACCGCCGTTATAGTAGTACAGTGACTCACGGCCGTTATAGTAAATCGAGTCAGGCAGTGTACGGTTAGATGGTGTGCGCCGATGCGTGACACTATAGTGTTGGGCGCGATAGTGGGCTGTGCTAAAAAAGTTCTAGCGCAATCACGTTCGCCACCCGCAGACGCTCTCGCACTCACGAACGCATGCACGCCACTGATCTCTATAAATATAATCAATTTCAATATCAAATAATCGATTATATTATAGAGATCAGTGATGCACGCACGTAGACGCGAGAGGAAGAGAGAGAAAGACAGTTTATGTGCGTTAGTTAAACATGAATTGAATGATAATAAAACGGAAATGACATGATTAGTTATAGTGATCTTTAGGTCACATGTTGTTGCTCATGACGAGAATAGTTCTACTAAAAAAGATAATTGTCGTAGTCAGAATGAAGGCTGTACATTTACTGAAACGTGCGTCAAATACGAGCTCGTGCGATCTACATTTTCAAAAGTTTCTGGGGGAGGAACTTCAAACTCGCCTCCTGTGTGCGTACACATTCATAATACGACCCTGGAAATGCTATGAATATGTATATAATATTAATATATATATGAAATATGTATGAATATGAAAGAACTTGTATTATCTTTACGATGAGTACATTATAGATACTATAAATACGATACGATAAGTAATACAAAGACACATGAAGAGTATGGCGACAATGATATTTTTAGAGAAGAATGAATTAGTAAGAGGTTTCAATGTTCTCACTCGTCGTAGCGCGTCGCGAACGAGTCGGCCTAGCTTGCAGTCTATCACTGTGGATCACGCTCGATATCATTAACTATTTATGTATTATTTATGTTTGAAATGATGTATGTAGCTATATACGGATATAGACACGCGCGCGCGTGTATTTGTGTATGTGTGTGTCCTGTGCGTGTGCGGCGTGCGTGCGCGCGAGCGCGTGCGTGTCAAATGTATATAGTATGTGTGTGCATGCGTGCGTGTGTGCGTGTGTTGGAATGTGTGTGCGTGTTTGTGTGTGTCGGTGCCATGCGAGCCGTGTACAAAACATAGTTACACAGTAGGTATATATATGTATAGTTAGAGAGAAATAAAATACACTACTTGGTTAGACAGGATGAAGTGCCTTCGATATCTGTGCATTAAATATATACAATGCCTACACACATTTATCTCTCACTATAAATTTAGTGGCGGCATATATTTAAGCGTACGCAGAATCGCAGATGTATATAGTCAAGATAGATACACTCATTTCCTAATTAAGTACCAATAGCTTAGTTCATCTCTTTACTTGAGAAAAAAAAATATCTGCGTAGCTACCTAACGTAAAAAATCAGGGTGGGCAGAGGGTAAATAAAGAATCTTTGAATTGTGGCGTATAATGAGTGAGAGTGGCGCGGCGCGTTGGCTAGATGCGTGCGCAAGCGATCGGGCGTTGACCCGGCTAGTATCAATTACATAAGCAGGTAGGCAGACCGTCAGGTCTGCGTCACTAGGGCTGAGAACATGTAGGTATTCGTGTGAGTGTGAAATCGCAATCATAGAAACGCCGGCAGCCGTTGACAGCCTAGCTTTCCATTACATAATATCACAAGCAGTCAGGTTTGCATTGGCGAGCTGAGGCCGTGTAGGTATTAGCGTGAAATGTCGTGGAGGTTGGAGAAGGTTTGCTTTCCCATAGGAAACACGGGGACCGAAATGGCAAGCGCGTATAAAAGGAGGAGCTGGGTGTATGCTATCGGCAGTTGTTTGGAAGTCTGTATCAAGATGAGTCTACTGAAAGTGAAGTTTTATGTGCTCGACAGTCCAGAACCCAGGCGAGGCAAGAATGTGGCATTTTGGAACGTGCCGCTTCTCACTGAAGACAGTCAGAGAACTGATCTCAGTGTCTTCAGTGAGAAGTTTCTGAGCAGATTTAGTGCTGGGCGGTTTGTACAAGTCATGAGCCCAAGGGTGAGACAAGACAGTTTCACATTAACGGATCAGTCTACGCTATGTACAGATGTATTACCTACCATATTGATGTACACGTATGTTGATAGAATGACATGCGTGAGTTGTGTGTCGATGGAAAATAAATGTCTATGTCCTATTGTATATATGAATTGTATATGAATGTTTTTTTCATGCTTAGATCATGTTTTGTGGGAAGTTCGCCATCGATAGACAGATGGTGCAGGACTTTGAGAGTGGTCCTGAACTTTCCATTGATGAAGCACTCGGATCACCGAAGCGACGACGAATGAGTGTATCAGGCACTGTTAGTGATGTAAGTATGAAAATGTCATGACAATCGTACATGCATGTAGGAGTGCAAGGTGTTTGCTATGAAAAGAGAGTTCGTTGAGAAAATATGCCACTATGCGAGCTACTGTATTGGTCTCTCTTCAATTGCCATTTGCATTTACATGTCGTGTGTCTGTGTGTTTTGCAGGTTGTTGTAACAGAGGCGGTTGCAGGACCAAGCAACGAGCAGAGACAGCGTGCTCAGTTCAGCATAGGTGCTGTAGGTAGTCCACGGAAACTACCCATCAAACTGTGGGGAGAACAAGCGAAAGAACTTCATGTGAAGGAAGGCGATGTTGTGACCATCAAAGATTTGGAGATTGGGGAATTCGGTTCCCGTAAGGAAGCGAATTTGACAAGAACGACAAAAATAGAGGTGAGCTTTTAGTCATGTAGGATTTATAAGTATTGGGACAAGACACCTCGATGACCTTGTGTTATTCATGACTTGTGCTGGTATGGGCTAGTGATGTTTAGTTTTAAAATTCACGGATAGTGTACTGACAAATATATCTGTCATAGATCAGTGCGACTGTCAAATTATCAATGTGCTTGTTTCATGTTTTGTAGTTGTGTCGTGAACAATTGTTTTTTACTCAGGTGACATCAGCATTGGACGAAGAAATCGAGCAGCAAGGAGTTGTATCAGCCATTGATATTGACGGGTATGTAGAGAATTGATCTAGTGATAGTAGATGTTGTTATTGTGCTTTTAAACACACAGACGCAATATGTTTTTACAACCGAATCATTGATATGGAGATTGTTGAAATGCTTGCAGTAACGTCACTGTGTGAGTGAAATGTTGTTTCAGTAGGTGTTTTACAAAAAATTCCCTTATTCTAGTGAGACCGTCACTGTTGAAATTTCAATGGGGAGAACATCACCGAGGTTCAAGATGAATAGTCAAGTGCTGTGTGAACTGGGCGAGGAAGATTATGTCATTGAAAGGCTGGACAGCCTGCATGTGACCTTCACTGTAAGGAACGGGGAAATCGTTCAAATAAGGTACAAGTAGTAGAGATCGTATTTGTTATCTGGTTGTCACAGAGCATGTGAGATATTCGTTAAGTGTGTAAAGTTGATCTTCTTACCATGTGCATTGTGCTGTGTGTACATATGTTGAGACTTCATTTTGATGATTTCACTCGTGAAGTTGGCATTGAATTGTGGCAGTCTATACATGATATAGCGCAATGAACTTTGGGTAGGCCATACAATACATCGCCATTTTGCCATAAACTGTTTTGTTTGTGTTCATCTGCGTCGACTGCGACTACAATTTACAACTTTCCTGTATAACGTGTGAAGTGAGTGCAATGGCAGAACATTCAGTATCACGAGCTATTCCAAAACTTGGACTACCTCGCCAGAGTGCTGGACCTAGAAAGAAACTCTTTCCTGTAGCAAGTACTAGCACTGCCAGCAAAAAAGAAATGCCCAGACTTACCCCGATTAAACGAACAAAGACTCATGATGTTGTTGTCTGAAAATCGCCTCGGTTGGCAGCTAAACGGCAAAAAGTTGAAGATGAAGTGCAATACACAGCCTTACCACCGGCTGCAGACATGGTTCGGTTAGTAGAAGCGGCTTTGGCGTTCAAGCCTGTACGAGTCCAAACCTTGACTGACACCACAGGAAATGTATGCATAGAAGTGACACCAGAACTAGCTGACATTGTTTCAGAAGGAGGGTTACCTTCCTATTCAAGAAAAATCATTATCAACACTTGTGCCAGTGGTCTGTGTGATGTGTACATTTTTGATAACAAGTGCAAGTCGGAGGAAGTTTTTGTGTCTGGAACTCTAAATAAAGATCGGCTGCTAGAAAATGCAGAGCTTCTATGCCTTCCGTATGTATCATGCTGGGGAATACCGACGGAAACGTATAGTAGTTTGAAAATCGGCTATGACACTAAACAGCTGCAGCCGCCGTCCAGCATGACACGTTATATGAGTAAGCGGTGTAAGAAAATATACCTCCCTGCTTCAAATGCCAAGAGACAAGAGCGTGGGGGACATGGTTTTTGCAGTCAATGCAAAGCAACGCTTCGTACGCTGAAGCGAGTTCGCCGTAAGACTGAAGAAGGTGGTGAGGTGCTAAAGCGTTCCAGGCAGCATCCACGTTCAAAATATCCAAAGTGTTACCTCAGTCCACAAAGTAGACGAATTAGAAGTGCAAGAGGCAAGACCAGAACCAACACTTTGGAAAAGAATATGAAGAAAATTCAGAAACGTTTAACGGTAATGAGACTACAGTTGAATGACAACCAAAATGGTGAAATCAGCAAGGCGGTCGACATTATCGCAATCGAATCATCGACATTATCGGCATCGCAATGAACTGGATAAACTATACCAGGAAGCTGAACTTAGTGCAGGAAAGCTTGTTGCGGACTCTCTGCGCAGAGACATGGACAGCTGACTCCGAACCGAAAAGAATTTCTTGTACATCAAGCAAAAAACAGTAAGCATAACTTTGACATACATATCTGCACTTTTATTTACTAAAAACTATGTAATATTGCCATTTGACAATAAACTAACTGTTTCAAGAGTGTTTTATTATCAGTTTATAATGGCACGGTATGCTGTGGTTTCAAACACATCACTCAGTTGAACTTAAAAGTATTTTTCGGTTTCAGCTCTTGTCATTTTAAGCAATGGCATTCAACTATACACATGGATTTTTTACTTTTATATTTTATAATATTTTAGTTACTGGCAAGAAGACTAACACGTGGAGTGCTACAACCTATCGCATGGGTGAGTTTTTATATGAACCAACACTTAAAACAATGACAGTGCCTCACTTTCAATGATCATAATTGAGTGCCAGACCTCGGCGCTTATTTTTAGATCTAGTTGTCCTGCCGGGCAACAAGGAGCAATTTTTACTTGTCCAAAATTAGATTTTACTTGTCCGAAATTAGATTTTACTTGTCCAAAATTCACTTTCAATCTATAGGTGTTTTGGCTCTGTGCACGACATTTTTGGCTCAGTGCATATCGATTTACAGTATATACATAGCAAATCTTAGTGAGATTCACACAACGTTTATTTTTGCGTGATGGAACACTCGTGTGTCATTCGGTTGCAGCTTTTCCACAATCTACGGAAAGAGTTTTGCTATAGCTCTTTCTGTGATACCAGCAGTGCGTGCCCACCCCTACATATTCAATAACATGCCCCACAAGACTGAAAATTGCGTGCCCCCCCCCCAATTCAATTCAGCCGACACGTACGCAGCCACAGACGTGGGTAACACGGGTTTTACCGTCAGCGTTTATTCCGCGACCTTCGGAAATATAATGCGAGAATGTCGTGCGACAGCGCCCTGGCTCAAAAGATGTGAAAAGAATATAACACAACTAGAAATATTTTAGTTGTCGGATAGAGCAACTAGCCGAGAGAATAACTTGACTGACATAGACTTTCACTTGTCCCTGCCAATTGGACAACCGTTAGCGCCAAGGTTCAGACCTAACTTAATTTTTACCTTTCACATTATTTGAGAATGGAATCAGTGGGGTTTGTAAGTATAGGTGAATGTTAACAAAGAATATGTGGGAAAGGAGCTAGGGATATTACTGTGACCCCCCCAGTAATTGACCCCCCCTGGACAATAAGTGCTAAAACTTTTTTAACAGTTTAAATTGTTTTCAGCTCTTGCGGTCTACGTTGGCTGTCCTTCAGCATATAATGCCCTCAAAGAGCTAGGCATAATGCAGCTCCCTAGTGAAAGGTCGCTGAAGGACTTTACAGGCGCAAAGTTATTTGCACCTGGAGCTGAAGCATGGGAGAGCCACATCAAGCAAGAAGCTAGCCGGTACAACACAATAAAAGAAGAACTGACTTCAGCTCTCACCGGCAGCGCAGCAAAACTAAGGATTCCTCAGCAGGAAGGCGTGTTAATTTTTGACGAAGTTAAAGTAATCGGAAAAATCATGTGGAACAGTAAGAGCCAGCAGGTGTACGGCTTGGCTATGTCGCTGAATGACCTGAGCAGTCTGCATGACATCTACACAACAATAGACCCAAAAGTGAAAACACAAAAAGCCAAGTACTGTTTGCAGTTTTTGTGGCGAGACTGCACCTCAGATTTCGACCTTGTTGGGCCATACTACACGTCGGAAGGTGTCCAGCAACCATCCCACATCATTGCCTGTCTTCAAGACACAATGCGTCTGCTCCATAGACATGGCTTCGTTGTGAACAGTATTGTGTGCGATGGTGCAAGTACTAACTTAGCAACCATTAAGAATGTGACAGGTGCAGGAAAAGGGCCGTATGGAATGAGCGACCAACCCGTACCAAATCCTCACGATGTTTCCTCTTGGTTCTGGAATTGGTTTCAACCGGACATTCCTGTCTTCTGGATTATCTGTCCTTCACATCAGGTTTGTTAGTTTTCTTTTTTCACCACAATGGGTTCAGTGAAATATTTTTGATGGCAATTGGAGGTTTATGATGATACATTTTTATGAAGGATAGCTGATGTACACAAACGTGTGAGAAATTCAAGAACTAGGTTTAATTTAAATTATTTTCAAAACATGAAACTATGACTCATTATGAGCCTGAAAACATTAATGATAAATAAGTAACAGCCACATTAACAATGTGCCAGTAGCTCTTCATTTATTTTATTTCATTCTGATTAACCCCTTCCATGATTGAACATAAAGTCCTAATCATTGTTAAATGAAGTAGTGTTAAGGTGAAGCCCAGATTAGATGTGCTTAGAACTGTGCACAGTGCAAACACTCAAACTGTTAATTTTATCTAAAATTACAAATAAATATAATCATATTATTAATTTCATATCCTTCCCGTGTTATTCTAGTTGAAAAACATGATCAATGCTCTTTGGCAATCCAAGCCGGTCACTGGGCGAAGCAGGGGATTTGTGACACACCTAGGAGGCCCCGTGTTTGGCTGGGAGGCTGTTGAGGACATGTGGAAGCGAGATAAAGATCGCAGAGCAAGAAATGTTTCGAGAGAGGTGCCATCCTTACAGGAGAGCTTTATCAAAAGGGATGCCTGGACCAAGTTGAACGTTCGTCCAGCTAAAGTGATGCAGGTGCATAATTTAGTTAATAGCATTAATGCCATAGACATTGTTATACACCAAATAAAGTTGTACAGTAAAACCTTGTTATACTGCCAATCTCACTTATCGCCTGGTAAATGCTAGTGTACAGATCTTTTGTGTCTATTTGAACGTAATATGGCCCCTCGTTAATCGCCAACGGCTAGCATTATAACTATGTACGATCCTATCTAAACATTGAAAATACACTCATTATACCGCCATCGAGAGTGATGCTCGGTATCGGCTGCTCATTTGCTATAGATCAGATCCCACATCCAATCCATAGCTCTAGATCGCTCAGATCCCATCAAACAAAGTTTATTTAAATATTTATTGGTTTTCTAGCAACTGGGAGCTATTTAGTGGGAATATTACACTGCAATTGCGATACCTCGTTATAACGCTAATATTTCCCAAGTCCTTATCGAGGTGGTATTGCAAGGTTATACTGTATGTGTCTGCATAACTAAAAAGATGCAATTTCTTAACTGTAATATAAGCCTTCCATCTTAATAATTAAGTGTGAAATTCCTCATAAGTGATATTTTTTATGTCCAGCAAGAGCAAGTACTGGCAGAACTGGCACACCATGCGTTATCAGCAGACAAGCCACAGCCATCCAATGCTGCAACTACCATAATGACCAGAGACTACCTACAGGCCTGCAACTTCGTATTCGAAAATGGTCTGCTGAGCCATGAAATCATTGACAGGAACCATCCTAAAACAATGGATAACATCAGAAAAGGCTACCAGTTTTTTGAAGACTGGTTAGAGACATTGCTAGGTAATATTTGGTATATAACATTAACATAAAATAACGTATCTCTACATGTATCTATTTATAAGCGGTTTTTTAAAACACGTTTAACACCGACTTGTTAACATTGGATCAATAGCGATTGGATCTATCGCATATTCTCATATGTTTTACAACGAGTTTTCACCTCGTTGTAAATAGGAACAGCATTGTAAATTATACTGTTATATCTCTAAACTTTATTATAAATGTGGTGTACATATCTGTTTGCATTTGTGATCAAGTCAAGAACATGAAATATTAACCTGAAAAGCCAACAACTACATCAGTTGGTATTTTCGCAGCCAGTCCCATCTATTGAGTGTCACTATATTTACCACGATGATAATCCAAGTTTAGCGGCGGTCTATTTGACAATGTTAGCACGAGTGCACTCATGTTTCGCAGGCGTGCGTTCTGCTTGTTCGAACGAGTATACTTGTGTTTCGCTTGGTAACGTGTTAAACGAGATTCAAACTATGTTATTGCTATTTTTGTGGCAATAACTTGAATATTTAATAATTATCTGTTTGCAGATGAGATTTCCCAACAGAGGGAAGAATCATTCCACATGACAAGCCCCAAAGAAAGACGTTTCTTGTCTTGGCAGGTGAATATTGCTATAATATACATCGAAAACATGGAACACATAAACGAAGTCATACATAATGATAAAACAATTGTAGCAATAATGGTAATGGTAGCGTTCACGATGACAGAAGTTGGCCATGTGTGGGGGAAAACACTATCTGCTAGTGTTTGTGCCAGTGGGACATAGTGGGAGAACACAGTGAGCTTATTTATGAAATAAACTATTATGTTACCTATTCTTTCAGACATGGGACCTTTTCAAAGTGATGTACTTTGGTTTCACGGGCTTGGTTTCAAGTTTCATGGAAAGGCACCCAAATAACTTCATATCACCACTGAGAATTAGTGGAAGTGCTGTTGAGACACTGTTTTCACAGTTTAAGGCTCGAGCCGGAGGTAAACTGAGTTCATTAAACTATGAGACATCTCTGAGGAGTTATTTGACCAAGAGAAACCTAGCAGTAGCAACAAAAACCATTCATCATAGTGCGAGAGGCTGCAGAGATGTGGAGCTTAAGATATCACACGCACCAATGATAAGAAAAACTAAGAAGTAGAGATTGCACGTAGTATGGCTGCTTCAATACTTGTTATACAGCTACAACACCGATTTTCCCACGTGGCGACGCGGTTACGGGGTTACGCGGCCATCAGTGTTTGGAAAATCGGTGTTGTACCTGTACTTGTATTGTAAGGTTCATTGTTTGGTCTAGGTAGAAGTTACTAGTAGCCTACTGTAAGCCGCTTGGGAAATTCATTAGCCTGTGGGAGATCGCAACTTCACGTATAAGAAAGCGATTTTTTTTAGCCTTTTTTGGAAAAATGTGCATCTTATACGCTATAAAGTACGGTGTGCTTTACTTCAATTTTGCAATGCACTGTTTTCATACTGTTTTAGATAACAAAGAAAGCCATAGCAAACATAGTTAATGCTAAACTTTGACATATGTCGCTACTGTTATTTCTACCGTAATCAAAAGGTCATGATAACAATATTGTTAATAATCATGTTTAGGTTAGGTCAATTTACGTTTTAACACAACTATACAGGTTGTCTCGGAGGTTAAATCCTCTCTTTGTAGTGGTGAAACCCTCATTTTCTGCCTGAATTTGTGTGAACGCTGATACAAATTCATTTAGCTTGGCATGCACAAACTTTTGCTGCCACATAGTGAAAGTGAGTTTATTGCTTCTCACTGCATTGTGCATGTTCCATCAATAGTGTGTGTCGAACAGCCTCCACGAGCTCGTCTTCAAACTGCTTGCTACTTGCACCTGAGCAATTGTCACATGCATAAACCAAGTTGAGCTATTGAATGAAATCAAGAGAATGGATATGCATGCCCGTTTTAATGACTTATTATATCCAGCCAAGAGTGTATTAAGAAGGCATTCTTAATACGCTCTTGATCCAGATTATCTGTCACTAACTGCATGTATAGGATTTTCATATAATTTACAGTGAAGTGAAGAACGTACAGTCTTTTAGTAATGGCTTCTGGTTAAAGACATGTAAGTATAGTTTTCAGTCAATGTTTAGGATGCTTTATATAGTATTACAAGTTTTTCCATTGTATGCAGCCTATAATAAAAGGGGCACGGTCAACTCGACCAACGCACCAACTCTGGCCAGCTTTTGGGTGAGCTCCAACCTTTTCTGGACACTAATTCGCCGCGCTCTAAATCGTCCAAATGTTTCAGGCGCCGCTATACGTCTCCAGGAAGCTTAGTTTCAAGCTAGAGCATGGCGCTGTCGCACTTCAGGCGAGTGAGGCTCATGGCGCTATGTTACCTAAATAGGTACTTTAGCATGTATATATGTGTATGTAGTATAGTATATACTTACTATATATATATATATATATATATATATATATATAAGGTATTCATGTTGCGATGTATGTTGGATTTAAGTATGTACTGTCATTTGTCATGTTTATTTGGATTGTAATTTAAATACATTTAAGTATAGAATAATAAATGTAATTAATGTATTGAGTCAGTAAATTTGTGTAAAGGTATACTGTATGCATTGCTGTATAGCTTTTTAGTGTGAGAGATTGTAAAAATTGTTATCAACAAATGCTTTCTAATTAAGAACATTATAATTGTTTTTTTTTACATCTGTAATAATGTTAATTATTTCACTAATTTAAGCAAAAATCATTACCTTAATGAGGTCTTTGCCATGTTGATTGAATGCATCTTCATTCGCGTTAAGTCTGACAACATTGTCCAGTGTTCGGAGCCATGTCAGAAATGTGCGCTTCGGAATCCACATGTACCCTAATATTTTTATTTTTATTATTAAATCTTTATTGCATGTAATTCAGACACAAATACATGTACAGACGACAGTTTTTTTATGGAGAAAAAATCTGATAAAAGCAATAGTGTTGATTAATAGTTAAAGTGGAAAATTTTCTGACTGATACAGTAAGAATACACAACATGAAGAAAAAATATATGCAAAAAAAAACTTCTGCATATTCTGTACTAGTACAGTGAAAAAAATCTTCAGTCAAGTCTGTACAAGTAAAGTAATTAAATACTAAAGTAGCCTACATCGTTTTGACACTCATGCGTACCTCTGTCTCTTGCCACTAGACCAGTTGGTAGTGAAGCCAGCTTTTTCTGGGATCTGGTCAAAGTACACATTTTCGCCAAGTTCAGCATTTCAAAATATAAAGTTTTTTCTTCCACTTTCCTTGGCTGCGAACTCGTAGAAAGTTGATAAGCCTAGCCATGCAGCCACCTCCTATGCGAAGCAGCGAGTACTCCGTCTCTGCGTGAAGATTTACTGTTTCTTTTTCGTTTACATTTCTGCTAGTGCTAGTACCACTAGTACATTGAGACATACTTATAATGAAGGAGCACAGTGTGTTCTGCACAGCATAGGCTACTGAATGTAGCACTGCACTATTGCACTTGCCGGATAGATAGTCAGTTGATTGAACACAGCCATTGTAATTTTTTACGCACTGTCCCCAAGTTGAATCGATGTTCACGCACTTTTCGCCCGCGAGATATTTTGAAACTAGAGTTAACCATGCAGTTAGAAACGTTGCGTATCTTGTACTTGTAGACTTTTCCATCGTGTTGTTTTCATATTGCTTGCAAAATTTATTACATAAGTCGTCCACTAAATTCCGTCCGGAAGGTGACAACTTCGTAAAGTCTACAAATTTTAGTGTAGCTCCATCGTAATTGGTGCTCCTTTTCAAACCATGATTCGCCAAGATAACACCGAATAAAAATCCATCAAGTTTCTCTTGCTTCTGTTTTTTCTACACCGCGTTATAAATATCTTTATTTGATCCATAGCGACAGTTTTGTTGATTATATTCCTTTTCCTTCTACTATCCTTTCTTCCAGTCATAGACGTGGGCCATTACTCCATGACGTGTTGTTATTGATTGCCATAGTGATGACCCCCCATCTTCAGTCTGCTTATGCAACGTAAATCCTGTAAGTAAATGACGTAAATGAGTCAGCGGCCACTAGCGGCGACGCGGAAGCATTAAGCACTTCGACGAGAGCGGACGCACCGGGCACTGTTCCACACTGATCTCGAGTCGGTGTTCAGGAAAATACCAGACTTTCGCCGCTCATTATTCAGTATCAGCGCTCATCGTAGGCGACATGCGGCTTTGTTTTATATGAACGCAAAAGCGTAGGACAGGCTGATCAATAATAGCTGCAAAGAATCGTCAAAATAAAACGGGAACAAGTTTATTTAATTCGACTAATACTGCACATGGCTTTTCAGCATTTTACCCTTGTACTCTTCTCTTCTTTTCTGCTCTTGATATTATTAACATGTATATCATTACTACATGTTATATTTAACTGCGCAATAGAAATATTAAGAGATTGAAGTCCACGCAAGATGAAAGTTTGCAATTTTTCCCATATGATTGAAAATAATTAACATCCTGACCTTGACATGTAAATGTTTGATGGGCGATAATTGGTTAACACACTGAAACGTTAGTTTAAACAATGTTACATGATTAAATCGTAACATCTGTTTCAAAACACTAATTGAATATGACATATTTTGATTTTCGTATTAACAAGGATCACGTATGAAATAAAATGTTTCCTGCTAGCAAGTTTTATTGCAGCCTAGAATCCATGAAAATGGCGTTACTGTATCCGCCACGCGATGAGTCGGCGGGAATAATATGGTTCATGTCTATCCAGCCACTCGCTCGCCAGCGAGACTTCCCTTTCCACTCTATAACTCCACCCTAATTGACCTAGGCATGACAAAACTTGGTATACTTACACAACCTTGGGGAGACAGGT